CAAACATCCCACTAACTTGACTTCATTCAGCTTTAATTCCTGTAATTCTGGTATCAGGATGTGCTCACAGCTATGGCACCCAGGGGGAAAGAAGCATGGGACCCAACACAGTACAATCACATGTGAATGTCCCTACACACAGGTGGCAGCTCACAACCACCCATAAACTTCAGTTCTAGGAGCTCCGTGGGGGAAGTGGGCATGTACAAGGTACACATATATCCATGCAGGTAAAATACTTCTACACAGAAAAAAATTCTTCAAAAGATTACTGCAACTCTTGCATATCTTAACTTAGCTTTGAATGAAATATATTACTTATACAAAGTTCTAGTTAACTCAGGAAAGGCTCTTTTCCTAAATTTTTACTTAGAAGGAATTTGTGTGTGTATGTTGCATGCAATGGGGGTACCTCTGCCTTGGTATATGTTGAGGTTAGAGGACAATTTTGTGGAGTTGGTTCTCTACTTCCTCTTTTATGTGGGTTCCAGGAACTGAACCACAGTCAGCAGGCTTATACTGAGCCATCTTGCTGGACTCCATCAAATATTTATTGATTATATGGATACTTATTTGTACTGCTTGGTTTTTTAAATGATAATTCAATAAAGGAAAGTTAAGAGATACCTAACAGCAACTAATGTCACAATCCATTAGGTGGTGGTGTCAGGGAAAAAAAAACTGCAATCTGTAAAAGCAGTCACCTGTGCCCTTTTACAATCTGACTTCAAGAAGAAAGACTATCAAATTGTAGAAATAATACTTAGAAGGAAGAGATGTTGATACCATCTGTTTCTGCAGCCAAGTGAGCATTCCTGAGTGGACAGGCATGGATGGCTGTGGGTATCTCTCAGTGTGACTGTTGGACTTTTTCTATTTCATCACTACAGAGCCAATCTGCTATTTTAAAAAGAAGTCCCATTCTGAGCATTTTCCTTTCACTTTCATGGAATGGGAAAATGAAACATCCTCATCCTCTTAGGATATTTAACAGAGTACATATCTCTATGTTGCTTCAAAGTGGAATGGTGCATGCTGGGGAAGATCACATAAACGGCATTTTGCCTAAATGTCTGTTGGACTGAAAGCTAGATGTGTATTTCTGCCATTAGATCCTCTCACTTTTTCCTAAGAATTTATACCTTTCTCTGTCCTTTAAGTGGAAGATCTCAGACATTTTGGGGTCTATCATAAAAATCACCATCAACAACAAACTTTATTATCTTGGAACTCTCCCATTTGGTTCTGGTTCCTCTCTCTCAGCTCTGACTTTTCTTTTCAAGCCACACTGTTGTGCAATTTTGCATTGTTTGTGTCCACCCTGCCCCTGCCAGTTGTTTTGTGAGAGTATATACTATGAGTGCCTATTATCTCCAGTCAAATTGGACCCTTATCTTTTCTTTTGTGCTGTACATACTGCAGCAGGACAGAGCATGTGGTAATGAATTGCTTATGAATGGTGAAACATTTATACGATCTGAAGAGAAACCAGATTATTGCTCATTGAAGCGACCTTCATCTATATTGAAGAGCATTTTTTTGCCCATTTAAATATTTTAGTATTTCTCTATCTCATTAAAGTATGAACTTCCATTTTGATTTTTATTTTGATACCATGTACTGCCTGCTAATAAAAATGATTTTCTGCTATTTATTGTATCTAGGAACCTCCTCCTCAAGTATTCATGTCATGATCAGAAATGATGTACTGAAGACTTCTTTAATGTTCTGTGTATCATTTAATGGTTTTTACTACACTGAAGCAGCTTGGGCTCAAATCTAAGTAGATCTTTCTGAGCTGAGACAGAGGAAACACATAATGAAGTGGGAACTAGACAGGGCCATGCCTGTACCTCACATCTCCCACAAAATTTATCTTCTGTATTCCTACAGAAGTGGATTTTGCTTGCAGGATTAGACAGACAGGAGCTCTTCTACCAGGTTATTTCTAAGATCTGAAATTCACCATGTTTCCTGAGAAATATCTTAATTACCTACCACAGAGGACTTTTGATACATGCCCATTCCTTCAACTGAATACATCTTTTATTGGGTTACTTGAATCGGATATTATGATTATTTAAAATTTCACAGTGTACAATTCTCATGCCATAATCGATAGACACATGTGCTGAAATAGACGTATGTTCAATTTTGAAATGAATGAGACAAGCAAAATTTAAAATAGATTATGATTCTCTACAAACTCTCCTCTGCCATAGAAGGAAGTTTTAAAAAATATTTATTTTATTTTTATTTATGTGTGTATGTCTATAGGAGTGCATGCCACATGTACAGGTACCTTCAGAGGTCAGAAGGGGGCACCAGATACCCTGGACTTGGAGCCCAGGGAGTTGTGAGCCTCTGAATATGGGGACTGGAAACTGAACTCTGGTTTTCTAGACAAGCAGTTACTACTCAAACTCTCTGTGTCATCTCTTCAATCTCAATAGAAGGAAGTTTCACTCATGTAGAAAAAAAGTGTGTCTAAATAAAAGACCAAAAGAGTTCTTTTTGTTTTCATTATACTAGGAGATGAATATGTTGACCAACATGGTCTCCAGCAGCAAGTACTGAATAATCTGTCTTCTCTTGAAGTATGTCTATTTATGCATTTTATATATAAGCTCTGGAGAATAATTTAACAGAGAATATTTTAAAAGGTGGAAAAAAATCAGAGTTCCCAATTCTCTATAGATGAGAAACAACCTTAAATAGGAAGTAGGTATTTGAGTAAGAAAACATCCAAATTACCTAAGATATTATCATAGTGAGTTCTTGCTCCAGTCCATTGCAGTTTGGGGATGATGGCATTGAAAACTTTAGTATTTTAATATTTTACTTTGGTAACAATTATGTCAATATGATTGTAAATTTTATTCTAACTTATTAAAGCTTCGAGGGTTGGGGGAATGTTAGTTACCTTTTAATTCATGACCAAATCATTAACTGTTAGTGACAATATATGTGGTGTGAATAATACAAGAAAAGAAAAGTAGGACAGAGTTTTAAGTTTCAGCAAAAACATATGCTCACATATTATCTATTCTGGGTTTTGCTCATCAGAAAAACAGGTGCTGTCTCAAAATATTACTACAACGTGTCTCATTAGTCTGCAGGTGGGACACACGACATTTAAACCCTTTCCTGAGCTATATTAAGGAGAGTATTGACACAAAGCCAATGGTTTGCAAATGCTATTGTTGTTCTTCAAACTTAATGTTATCGCAGGTCTCCTGCATATGTGTTTTGGGGCTCAGTTCCTAGTTCAGTGCTTCCAAATCCTGCTGATCCCTGGGTTGGAACAAAGCTCTCAGAAGCAATCAACTGCTCTGGCCATCCCAGGTGCCAAACACACACACAATGCCCTTTTATTTATGGAAATACACACAGATCTATTCTGCAAGCACTCGGAGCTCAGTACAAATACCACCCCTTTCCCACAGGCGACAGGAAGGATGTGGTTTGAAGGACATGGTTGCTTCATCTGAATGTGCAGTTGTTCTTCAAAAGACCTCTTGTTTTCATGCTGGGTGGTTGCTTCAGTGTATTCCCTGCCCCAAATCTCACTTTCATTTCTCTAAAGTGGGCAACCAAGGTGATCATGGATACTTCACTTTCTATTCCCAATGGAAACACAATGAAAATATGCTCATAATCAAAAGACATTTCTGTGAACTAGTGACCTAGCAGTTCCTTATATATTTGGCAGTAACAATATAATACCACATTAACATTGTAAGATAAAATGGTCAGAACTACCCAGTGGACTTATCCCAGCCGTGGAAATCAAAACATTATAGAATGAACTCCACCACCGACCCCTCACCAAGTTGTAATACAGTCAGGTCCCTCACTGCCAGAAAAGTAAATATTTGAAGAATTTCTTAGTTTCACCTGAATGCAAATGTGAGCAACAGCATCCCTGGCTACTGTTTAACATGAAAAAGTGTAATACATCATACAAAGTACTGATTCTGGCCTCTGCTATCTCTATCTCCTCTCTTCAAATCCAATGACACACTCAGAACAAGTAAACATGGAGTCACATCTCTGATTTCATGTAGCCTGCATCCTGGGAGCTCACCTCCTTCATTATTTCAGAAACACTCTGTGTTCTGAATGCCTACTCCACAGGCCTGCTCTTATTTGGTATCCCCCATGATCTTGACTTATTTCCAAATGCCAAGGAATTTGTTAATCCACACATGATCTCCTACGTGGGGTTTAGCATCTCATATCTTCCTAATGTCCCAATCTAATACTTAAAAACTCGCAAGTATGCTTTTCTATTCTGTGGTAGAAAAGTCTTTTACCTTAAGAAGGATGCATTGCTGGCTATCAGTTGCTTCTTCAGTTTTGCATTGAGAGTCTTCTCTTCCTTATGTTCCCCATGTAAAGACACTAGCTCACCAGGAGCTACACAATTTTAGAAAAGTATTTCGGCAACAGGGTAAGTCTATTGCCGTGAGCTGTTGCTTCTGAATTCCTTCTAGTTAACTCACTTTGTAAGTTTTTTCTAACCACTTCTTGTTTTTCACCTATCAGTTGTAGAATGTGTGATCTATGAGAGACTCCCTGGAAGAAATATAGCAACAGGAATCAAGGAAAAGAAGAATGGAGATTTTATAGGAATATTTTATTGGTAACACTCAACTTGAAATACCAAGTCTGAGAAATTGTACACAACTCCCTGCGCCAGGTGGAATATTACTCTCACTCCAGTATATTATATAAACGTCTGCATTTTCTTCCCCATGTGGAAATAAATGACTCTGGATGAAATGTCTGTGCCCTGTATCTTCAAGAGTCCATGTCTCACTCCAAGATGCCAGGAACATTTCACCTTGTGTCATACTCCAAGCTTTGTATAGTTCTTATATAAACCTTAGTCTCCAGACACATTCCAAGCTGAATTTATTTCAAATTCTGAACTGCGTTTATTCCATTCCACTCACTTAAAATTCCAGTTGTGATTGGAACAGACACACTTCATTTACCTTCTGTGCAGTGTTCAGTGAAGCACTTGCTAGGTCTCACTCTGGGAGGTAGCATTCAATCCTTTGTGTGTCTGATCAACTGATTAAAGCTTTGGTTTTACTTGTAAGGGATGTCATGACCTTCAATGCCATCTTTCTTGACAGTTTTTGAGACTGGAACATGAGGAATCTGGCAAAATAATATGATAAATAATAATACTCTTTTTCTTACACCTATCCCTTTTATGCCATGACACAAAGTCACATATCAATGAAGCATAAAATTCAACTTCACTTTTGTTGTCTATTTTACCGAATTTTCTATATATTGAATGACATAAAAATGAGGTAACGAGATAAAATGCCCGAGACAAAGACAGCTTAGTACTGTAGAGCATGAGCAGGACTAGTCACTTAGAGATGAGGCCTTGAGGAAGGTCAGTTCTTGTTGAGGAAGTATGCAGCCCATGGAAGGGAACTGATTCTTTGTTTGGTATGAATTTCCTGAACAAGGTTTAAGGCAGAAATGACAGGTAGCTGAAACAAATCTACTTTTCTGAGAAAACAAAAGATAGAAGCAGCCGTATCCAACACAGGGTGCTGCACAGGACTGAAGAAAAGCTACTGCAATCCCTAAGCAATGGTAGGCCACCATCAGCCTCCATCTTTGTTTATTAATGTAACAGCCATAGGCATATGTATGCCTGTGTTTTCATGACTGTGAGTGAGTGCTTTCCTTTAGGGTTTTTGAGGAATGTTCAACAATCATTGTTTGGCCAGAAAAATGGTCCCAACTCTCTAGTTTGATAGTGTCTTTCTTTACTTTGAAAAACTCCCTCTGGCTCAACTTTATTCTTTCCCTTTAACTGAAATACAAAGGCTGATCCCTTTGAATATCCTCCTGCCAATATCCACAGCTCCCCAGGAATTCCTGCCACTGATGCAGTCTCCTAAAACATTTCAACTCCAAATAAAGTCACTATTTTATTTCTATCTGTTAGAGCTTAGCTGTTAGGTTCTGATAAATTCACGGGACTCCATGGATGAATTCTGGGGCAAAATCTTGGTCTTCAACATCCCTGGGACCTCCAACTCCTGTCTCCTTGTCTTTTAGATTCTAATTTGTTTTTCCAATGCAACATACCTCCACACTATCAGCAAAGTCTATTGGTCCATAGAGATAGAGACCCAGGAAGTGAAAATTCGTGTAGCTCTCTCTCCTCTAATGAATTTATTGCAGCCAGACTTCTGTACATTCAAACCATCAAAAGCCTTATTCTGTTTTTCTTATTTAACCACTTTTCCCACCTCTATACTTGATCCCATCTGTTCCTTCTTTATCTATTTCTCATGTAGAACATTTACTACTCCCTTCTGTTGGCCCTTGTGCAGCAGGGCCTTGGAGCTGGTGGCTGATTTTAGGTTTTGGTTCTCCACTATTCACTGAGCTCACACAAGCATACTGACTCCAGTATGGTATTGGTCTTTATACCATTGTCATTTGCAAAAACTATAAAGCAAGGATTTTATCTTCTGCCCCTTTTTCAGGCCTGGTTCATCAGAATACTACTACTTATAAGAGATGTGGGACATCATTCTTTATGCTGCAAATATGTGTTGCTTTTATTGGTTAATGAATATAGCTGTTTTGACCAATGGCCAGGCAGAATATAGCGTCAGGGAGCCGCCATGTAGTCGTTGGGGAAGCAAGATGTGAGGCAAGAAGCCATAAGCCATCATGGTAAAATACAGAATATTACAAATGGGTTAATTTATATGTAGAACTAGTCATCAATAAGCCTGGTCATTTGCCAAAAAAATTGTAATTATATTAACCGTCAGAGTGGTAATTTGGAAACTGGTGGGTAGGACAAGAAACCTCCATCTAGCATTCTAGATAAAAAGGGAATAAAAGCCCTAATGAAATCCTTTGGTGCAGCCTCTTTTCCACTCTAGCTCCACCCCTTTTCCTTTTTACCTGTGCTGTTTATCAGGGTCATATGAACTCAGCTCCGCTATTTTTTCCTAACCAGTCTAAACTTGCCTTCAGTTCCTATCAATACCTCCCAGCAGTTGCTATTTACAGGGTAATCAGTAACTTGCTGGCTGTTTGTGCTAGGTGGTTTGGGGTCTCCACCAAAGGAGTTCAACACTGTGACTGCTCCCTCTTTGAATTCTCTCATCTCATTATAACATCCCCCAAACATCCCCTAACCATCCTGGCCATCCCTTCATGGTTCCTTTTCAAGGTCTTTTTATTTCCTGTTGTTTTCCTAGATCTAGCTCAGCATCCATTCTTTGGATTTTATTTATTTATTTATTTATTTTGGTTTTTACGAGACAGGGTTTCTCTGTATTGTTTTGGAGGCTATCGGTCCAGCCCAGCCTCGAACTCACAGAGATCCGCCTGCCTCTGCCTCCCGAGTGCTGGGATTAAAGGCGTGCGCCACCACCGCCCAGCCATTCTTTGGATTTTTTTTTCTTTTCCATTTTTACGCTGACTTAATCAGTTAATTCTGACTGTAAGGGGTTTCCAAAGCTCTCTGTCTCCTTAACAGTCTCTTGCTTTGCAGGTGCCACGGTCACAGTCCATTTAGAGGATTCAGGTACCAGGCACCTCAGATGTCAACGACACTCTATTTAACCTTCCATTACCCTGCTGATTCTTTTCCTTGTGCCTTTTAGTCTTTCCTTCATGACATAGTGGATATTTATGAACATACTTCTCAGTCTATGATCCCTGGCCTAAAACACTGTTTGGAGCTACCTCTGCAGTCTCATTTCTTCAACTGCTGTGCTATGCATACTTCTGTCCTTTATGTATCCCCCAGTCCTCAGCCCTTGTTCCTGTGTACCATGGGACCTTCAGACTCACTGTCTTCTGTCTTTGTTATTTCCTGGGTAACTCTGATGTGTCTTTCTGATCTTGACTTAACTAAAGGTTCTGAAAAGAAATAGTCCCTGAGTACGCTTATCTACTCAAATCTCATTACAGAGTCTGCATTGCTAATTAGGTATAAAGAGACAAGTTACCCCTGTGGTGTAGGAGAGATCTATCATCGTCACATTTCATGTTTCTAGTTTAAATAATGGAGTGTAAAATCTTCCAGAGTGATATATAATTATGTAGTTTTGTGCTTTATTTTCCATAAATTATGTAAAGCAGTGGTTCTCAACCTGTGGGTCACAGGGTTGTATATCAGATATCCTATATATCAGATACTATGGTTATACACATTATGATTATATACATTATGATTCACAACAGTAGCAAAATTATGGCTATGAAGTGGCAATGAAAATAATTTTATGGTTGGGGTCACCACAACATGAAAAACTGTATTAAACTGTTGTAGTATTAGGAAGACTGAGAACAACTGATATAATAGAATATCATTGTTTGTTCTTTAGTATCATGCTCACACAATTTGCCATCCAAACTGAGGCACATCTTTCCACGAAAGGGGATGATATAATGATACCAGGAGATACAAGAAAACAACAAACTGCAGAGGTCTCTGCCAAACTGGGACATGTCACCTCGGCTTCGGCTGACATAACAGGGAAAATAGGTAACATGTTGAATTCTCAGTGCAGTGTAGAGTGCTACTGGGGTCATAGTTGATCCCATGATAGAAGGATCCATCTTCCATAGTACACCACGCATAAAAGGGCTATGGCTGTATTCATCATTCTGAGCTTTATCAGCCCAAGTTCTGTTTTACCTTTCTTTTTTTTTTTTTTTTGCTCCCTACAACAAACTGACATTAATATTTTGGAAGTACCTATCTGAGCAATGGGCTCTGTGCAGATAGGAGGCATTGTGATTTGGATGTGTGGCCCTGGGGGATCACATGTTTGAACACCTGGACCTGGCGGTCGAGATGTTTTGGAAGGTTGTAGAACCTGTAGAGAGTTGAATTTTGCAGGAAGATGTGGGTCACTGGGATTGGACCTTGAGGCTTTGTTGCTGGCAGGGATTCTTGTTCTCTTTCTGCTTCCAGACAGCGTGGCCAGCTCCTGCTGCCGTGCCTCCCCTGCCATGATGTGTCTTCCTTCAAACCGTGAGTCAAAATAAACCTTCCTTTTGTAAGCTGTTTCTTGGTGGGTATTTGATTCCAGAAATAAGAAAGGTAACTGACTCAGGAGGGGAAGAAAGAACAGGAAATCAACCTTTATAGAAGCTGCAGTTGGTTACAGGATACGTATTATTTTCCCTCCTGAGAGATGAAGAAATTCACACTCAGGACTCAGATATGATGGGGCTCTGTCTTTGTAGACAAAAGATGCCTGACTGGAGCTACAGCTCAGGTCTCCACTTTCAGTTCAGAACTAAGTCCAGTTTGCTAAGTTCCTTTGAGAAAGACAGCACACCAGCAGCACACTGAGAGGGAGACAGACAACACACCAGAGCACACCTACATGGAGACAGACAACACACCCGAGCACACCTACAGGGAGACAGACAACACACCCGAGCACACCAATATGCTTTATATTTGCTCTGTCTGCCACCACACTGAAATGCCCAAGTAGCACATTTAAACAATTGCTGTAGAAGGGGACAATGCCTGAGCTCGGAGGGCGTGTTTGCTCTGCCTATGTACACTTCCTTTTTAGGCACTGGCTTCTGGCCCTGTGATAAGGGCTTGAAGGGGCTTTAGAAGGCAAACCATATCTCTGATTTTGGCAAGTCATTGGTATCACACCCATGTTTAAATCCTGAGTAAACCAAAAAGGCCCCAAATGAGTTCTTTTACTATGTAGTCAAATTCTACTTTAGAGGTGTGATGAAGAGCCGGGACGTGATCAAGCTACCTTGGGGAAGCAGAACATTTCCACCACACACAATGCACGTGTAGCACTGTGAACTCTCCAACCTAAACACCAGAAAAGACTTCTTATGCACTAGTGCTTTGGGGTCTAGGAGATATAGTCTTTACAGAATGGAGCCATCAGATTCTTAAGGGAAGAGTTTCTTGGGCTGCAACTGCTGGAGAGGGAAAGACAGCGTTCATGTCTCCTGAGTGCTGGTAAGAAGTTCATACAAAATTCAGAATGTTTCAATATTCAGAATCCCCCAAGTTCCAAAGATCTATATACTTCCTCCCTTTCCAACTCTACTGTGCTATCAAATGTAAACTTTGCTATTTTCAGACTAAATAATGATACATCATTTATTTCACAAGA